ACCCCAGAATTTCCAAACCAGTAGAACTAGGGGCTTGACCTACCTGTGAATTTTCATTGCTGACAAGTTTCCAGGTGATGCTGATGCTGCCGGTCTTGGGCCATACTGTAAACATCATTGCTATACTGAATTGGCACTGAGATGATTCTCTGTGTAAAAATAACCCCAGCCACTAATTTTGGGTAAGGGAGACACCTAGAGGGGGGTTTTAACTGCTTCTTGTTCAGAAAATAAAAATTAGTGTCTGAATGCCCAGTTTTGCTTCTCATGAGGGACTGAAGCACTAAAGACAATTGGGCCAATTTAACTGAGATGGCCTAAAAGTCACCCCTGGTTTCATCTCCATTGCTAGTGTGGAAGTTATGCTTGTATTAAACATATCACAGAGGACACTGTATTAGGGCAGAACCTAAAAAGATGAAGGAGTATTTTTTTGTCTTATTCTTAGATGTGTGGGCTCTGCCTACATCGAGGAAATTCAGAAGGATATCACACCCTATGTGTCCTCCACAAAAGATCTTCAGACACCCACAGGCTCACACATGTTCTTCACTGTGTCTAGTCCTGGTCTGGACTATTGCGAGAAGACCTTGCATCGTAGGGAGCTACATGTGATGGGCCTCTCAGCATCACACATTTTTCAACACAAAAGCCACTTAATTTACCCACTCAGACCAAGTTTTCTAAGCACCTGCCATGCTCCAGACCTTGTTCTGAGCATACAGCAGTAAAAATACAGAAATGAGCTTATATTCCAGAGGAAGAGACAGACAGCAAGCCAACAGATGTAATCACTCATTAATTATTGCTACAAAACAAATACCTCAAAATGTAAAGCAATTGTTTGTTTTCAGGTCACATACCTGGCAATCAGCTGAGCTGGGCAGATTCTGGTGGGCTTGTTCAAGCATCTGTGGGCCCATGAGGGGCTCATCTTTCCTCCTAGGACCAGTGGGATAGCCCACAAATGCTCTTTCCAAGACATCAGTAGGAGCTTTTGCTAGAGCAAGCTAAAACACAGAGGGTCTCTTGGGACCTGAGCTTATAACTGGCACCTCATCCCTTCTGCTTCATTTAATTTGTCACAGAAGTCGCATGGCTAAACCCAAGGCCAAGGGGCAAAGGGCACACATGCAGGCTGGAGTGAAGGATTGAGGTGATAATGCACGCAACAATGCGTAGCAGAAGGTCAAGTAATGCAGGGACCAGGAAGAAACATGAAGCAGTGTTTGTGGCTTAAGAGTGATCAGGAATGCTGCTTTGGGTCAGCACTTTGGTAGCCAGGGAGACTTGTAGGATGGTGCATTGTCCTAATCTTGGGTGTTTTTAGCAGGCGTTCCCATCGTAGGGGGTGAGACATTAGCATGAAGGTATGTTGTAGTGCTATGTGATACGGTCTTCCCTGCATGCTGTGCAAGTAGGTCCCAGTTATCCAGGTCCCCAGACGCGCCTAATCGCTGCGTTGTTGCATAAGGGCTTCTAGCTGGATTAACCCCGCTCTATACAAATGCCTCATCATAGCAGCACATTGAAAGCATAACAAAATTCGAATACATTATCTCTGCTGGACTATAAGCCAGTCACCCCCTCCCCCTGCACACACACACCCATGTGCTTGTACGTATACACACAGAAACATGCACACATTCATACAGCCACATCCACCCACTGTGGAATGCCTTCATCAACATCAGCCAAGGACAGGAAACAAGCTCAACCCTTGGCACCCACAGGAGGCAGCTGCTGGCTGTTGGATTATTCCTTCAGTGCCAAGCTAGGCTGATGCGTCTGGAAAAGGGGTGTGAACCTTGAATGTGTCTAAAGGCAGACACAGCTTCTCGAGGAGCCCACAGATGCTACAGCAGCTGGGGCTTAGTCGGGGGATGATACGGGGTAGGCGGCAGAGTGGTGATATGTAGGGTTCAGCTTTAGTATTTATTTGCCACATCAATCAATTCATCAGCCAAAAAACCCCTATTAGGGAACTAAATAAAAAGCAAAGCAAAACAAAGAAGAACGGATTTCTTCTTCAGAAGCCTTTTATCATTGGAATGAAATAATTTTTCTTCTGTTTTTGTTGGACAAAGTATGATCTCTGGTTGTTTGGTGAAATGCACATTCTCTGAAAGTTGAGAGGAATAGATGATAGAGGGGAAGAGAAACATCAATATTTACAATAGTCCTAGGAGTGTTATCATGTTATTATTCCCATTTTATTGATAACAAACTGAGTCTTAGGGTACAAAAGTGACTTGCCTCATGTAGGTGGAATCTGAAGATCTCAATTCAGGTCTTATCTTTCTGACAAATCTTTTTCCACCTTAGTAGGCTCGGCATGTTTGGAACCTTGTGGGATTACAGAAGTGAGCCTCAATGCCTAAGGAGACCCCAGAAGTCAACTCCTCTCACTCCTGAAAAGCCAATCTGTGGGGATTGAGGCAAGAAAGGAATGCAGACTGGCCTTTTGGGCACACCCACCTGGAATCAGGTGAGGTTTACCGGAGCCACTCTGCCTGCCAGTAGAACAGCCCAAGACAAAAGCCTGGGACCTTTGCAAATGCCTGAGCAGGACTTTGCAGGGGATAGAATCAGCAGGATTTTCACCAAATGACATCCATCTTAATTGGTAGCATCAGACTCATGAGGTCTTCCATGGCCTGGGCATCACAAACTCATTACTGGTCATACTGCCAATGGCCTCCTTTTATATATAGTTGATGAATTTGAGGACAAACCAGAGAATTGCCCTTGGCCAAACCAAGCTGTCTCACCCAATACTTTTTCCCCCCTTGGGGAAATACTGGGGCAAAAAGCACATCCAGGGAAACCAATCTGTCTGACACTGGCAATTAAATGCTCCAGGCTTGAAGGGACATGGTGCTTTTGCACATGGGTCATTGGCTAGATGTACACACACTGCCCCACCCCCGGACAAGGGGGCCAGCAAATGCAATCCTACCATGATCCCAAAAGGGGAAACATTGGAAATATTTGGTAATCAGCACTAAGGACAAGGGAATGGGGAGACCACAGAAGGCCAGCAGAACTATAAAATCCACAGCACTGAACTGTCCTTAGAAGGCAGCCTTGGACACTCCCTCCTCTGAGGGACTGCTTCCCTTAACTGAGCTGCTGCAGATAGAAACCTAGCTAGATCCTCGTCTTCTGTGGTCTAGTTCCTCATGGTGGTTTATCACCTCCCAAGCTGTCCTCTGCTCTCTTTCGCTATCTTTGTATTGCTAAGCCATGGGCTCAGTTTAACTGGCCCTGAATGACAAGATGATGCCCTCCTTGGAATGGAGAAAAGTCTAGATATTTCCGGATGCCTTGATTTGAAGCCTGTTTGACTCCGAAGTTCCCTGGTAAACCAGAGGGAGACGTGAGGATAGATATCCACACACATGGATTCCAAAGTGTCATGATCTGTGACATCATCTGTCAGACCGTATTGATCAGAGGCTCCGGGACAGATGACCCTATTTAGGCAGGGAAATGACTGGGTGAAGCAGCAAGATTCACCTTTCCCAGTTTCATCTGGGGGTTGTTTTGCCAACATTGCCATCTGTTGGGCCAGTGCTGGCTACAGCAGCCAAGCTTCAGACATCACTGCATCTTTCTCAATGACCTTGGGACCACAGGAGATAACCTTCTGACCAAACAGTAGCCAATGAAGGAATCTTAAAAGGCACATCGCTTTATATTTACTCAGTGGTTATGTCGTCACTTAATCCTCACCACAACCTTATGAATTCAGTATAATTCGTATTTTCATTTTACCTGTGAACAAATGGAGGCAGAGAGTTTGAGTAACTTATGAGTAAGTGGCAGATCTGGGGGCTGTGCCTAGATGATGTGGCTCCAGACTCCTTGCCCCTCCCCACCTTCTGCTGCATCTTGATTGAGTCTAGCCATCTATTTCTTTAACACACACTAATTGCTATCTCCATGTTCCAGGCCCTGTGCCAGATGCTAGAAATACATCCCCGTCCACTGGATCTTGGCATGGTCCATTGCTCAGTGTCCTGTTATGTTACATGTTACATAATGCATTTATTCCTGTATTTAGCCCATGGAAAATAATGCTGAAAGACATTGCCTACATGTTTCTACAACAAAACTGTGTAACTGATGTTTCTTTTATTGCTTTGGCTATCAGGAAGCTCTTATCCAAATCAGAGCAAATACATTAGAATTTGGGCTTGTCATTTCAGTTTGCTGAACTTTTCCTTCTGGCCCAGATTTTCTATTTTGGTTCATAAATTCTATTGCACAAATGTCCTTTAATGTAAAACACCTTAAATTCTTTTTAAAGGAAGGCTGCATGGAAATGATAAATTAAGGTCTTCCCTGCATATTCTTAGATTTCTACTAGGGAAGGCAGACTTAGATGTCCCTCTTACCCTCAGTCCCAAAGCACCCCGTTTATAAAATCCCTTAAGCAGTGACTACGGCTGTTCTGAGTACCTGGGGGTAGTTCAGAGCTTCTGAGAGGTAACATCCATACATAAAAAAAGAAGTTTTCTCCAATCCAGATCCCAGCTTTGGTGCCAGATGCACATTTGTGGAGTAGGTGGCTAGTCAGACTCTCACCTGAGCAGTTAATAAAATCTATTGCCCCTTGATGGAATTTTTTCTGCAAACTCCAATTGATCTGTCCCCTTTGTGATTTGTGAGATGGCAGGAAAACACCAAACACCATCATGACTTGGGCCACAATGGGGGTAAAAAAGGAAAAAAGAAAAAAAAAAATCCACTGCCAAGGCTTGCCAGGCATAGAAAGGGCTGGAACTGCTGGGGTCATTTTATTTGATTTATTGGAAATAGAGTAGATCTTATTAACATTTTAATAAAGAGAATCTTTTTGCACTAGGCTGGAAGTGGCCGCCAGTCCCCCGTGCAATTCCATTCTCTGGAAAAGTGGAATCAGCTGGCATTGCCCAGCGTGATTTGTGAGGCTGAGCCCCAACAGTCCAAAGAAGCAAATGGGCTGCCACCTCCGCGGGGCTCGCTCCTCGCGAGGTGCTCACCCCGTATCTGCCATGCAAAACGAGGGAGCGTTATGAAGGAATCCGTCTTGTAAAGCCATTGGTCCTGGTCATCAGCCTCTACCCAATGCTTTCGTGATGCTGCTGCTGATCTATTTGGGAAGTTGGCTGGCTGGCGAGGCAGAGCCTCTCCTCAAAGCCTGGCTCCCACGGAAAATATGCTCAGTGCAGCCGCGTGCATGAATGAAAACGCCGCCGGGCGCTTCTAGTCGGACAAAATGCAGCCGAGAACTCCGCTCGTTCTGTGCGTTCTCCTGTCCCAGGTAGGGAAGAGGGGCTGCCGGGCGCGCTCCGCGCCCCGTTTCCGCATTCAGATCGCCCGGCACGGGCAGGGTGAGGGGGCTTTCGGGGGGTCGGGGCCTCCGGTCGCGGCGGCGAAGACAGATCAGGGCTCGGTAGGGAGGTCATTCCGAGCCCAGAGATCCTAGGCACCCCCTCACACACAGGCTTCCACTCTGGCGTGTGTGTGTGTGTGTGTGTGTGTGTGTGTGTGTGTGTGTGTGTGTGTGTGTGTGTGTGTAGGTTTGTTCACGGGAGGAGGAGAGAGCTCCCGGTCCTTTTTTGCTAGCAGGGGCGACATTCTCGCCCACATCAAGTGGGGTAACTTTGGTTCCCTCCTCCGGAGGCTCCGTGCATTGGAGAAAGACTCAGTTGGAGGCGACTCCAACGAGCCGCGGTTTCCAACCCAGCCCAGCGCCCAGCGGCGGAAGCGCTGCTCGAGTCCGGATTGCGGGCTGCGGGGCTGGAGAGGCCGAGCAGGCACCACCGACTTCCCGGGGCGCCCGGGCCCCCTGGCACAGCCCTGCTGCGCGCTGGAAGGCGCCTCGGGGCAGCAGAGAGCCGCAGCCCGGCTGCCGCTGTCGCTCAAAGGCGCCGGCGCCGGCCGCACCCGCATCGGGGTCCTTTTGCTCACAGACCCGGGCCCGAAAGGGCCGGAGCGCGTCCCCCGCCAGGGCGCAGGCCCCAGCCCCCCGCACCCCTATTGTCCAGCCAGCTGGAGCTCCGGCCTGATCCCGGGCTGCCGCCTCTGCTGCCTTCCCTGGGCGGGAGCGGAGCGCAGAGAAAAGTTCAAGCCTTGCCCACCCGGGCTGCAGCTGCCTGTTAACCCTCCGAGCGCTGCGGCGCGAGGGAAGGGCCCGCCAACCAGGAGAGGGGGCGAGGGAGACGCGGTCAGCCTGCAATCACCTCTGCATCTCAGAGATTTCGGGAAGTTTGAGTGCAGGAAAGCAGCGCTCCGAGGCCAGGCCTGGGGTGCTGGCGGCTGTGGGGGGCACGCCCAGCGCTGCTCGGGGGCCTGTGGTTTCGGAGAGCACCCGATCCAGTCCCCCATCGCCTCTCTGGCAGGCTTTGGGACTTGGAGTGAGCTGGCAGCCTTCAAGTGGGTGGATTGGAGCCAGGGCAGGGCAGGGCCGGGCAGAGAGGAGGGAAAGAGACAGGGAGTGCCTCAGGGTGCTAGGAATAAGTGTTGAGTTCCTGGCTGGGGTAGAGCCTCAGGTGTGAGTTTGCGGGTGAGAGGGAGGGGAAGGGAGTTGGGGTCCCAGGTAGGGACTGTCTGGGATGGGGAGACAGGAGCAGCCTTCTAAGGGGAGACACTGCTAGAGCAATGTTGGGGTTAGACTTTGGAAATGGGCTAACGTCTCAGAAATGCAGTGATGGGTGATAGTACCAGGGGAGATTCAAGTGCCTGGCTGCTGAGCCCGCTCCCATGCTCCTGAGTTGTTTCTTTCTTGGATATACAGTCCCCATTGAGGACTGCCCAGTTATAGCTCCTTTTCTACCAGGCTTTGCTGGTTGATTATCTTGGGGTCTCTACAATCTTGAGTCTTGCCGTGGATCCCAAGCCTGGCTGTGAACCAGTTTTCCAGATGTCCTGTAACCTAAAGATTCCTAAGGCTGTATGTGTGTACATATACCCCAGTTTAGCAAGGCGGTTTGGAGCATGCCTCAGACAGCAAGGATTGAGACAGATCCTTCCTGCCATCTGCTAGTGGTACCACCCTGGGCAAGTTGTTTAACCTCTTTGAGCTTCCAAGTTCTCCATTGTAAAATAATCTGCTGCCTTCCTAGGACTGCTGAGTGGATAGGATTGCATTCAACAGGATGTCCTATGCAATGCATGCCACTCTGGGAGCTGTGGGTGTCTGAGAGCACTTACCATTGCGTTGTCCAGGACTTCACAGTCCTCTTTTTTTCTTGGCAGGTTTCAACCTCAGTTCAGATTCCAGGGCTTGCCCAAAGTTATGCCGCCTTTACAGCAAGACAGACCACGTGACAGGGCCCCAAGATCGATTTTTATGCACTAAGGGCTCTGTGCATGGTTCTTTTTGCAAATGAACTGGTGGGTCTCCTCACCCAGGGCCAGGCTGGCACAGGTGGGTTCTGAAGGCTCACTCTATTTATTTAGACGAAGGAAGCAGAGATTTTGCTGTGAATTGAAATGATTGCCCTGAGAGGCTTATTTCTATTTTCAATTGTTATGCATATCAGAGCAAATGTCCACATTAGGATAGTAATGGATATCCCGGTAGCAATAGTACCTCACAGAAAAATCATTTTGATGCAATCCAGTTAACCGGCAAGAAGTTCCACTGCAGAGCTCTGTGTGCCATAGAAAAAAGTGGGGAAAGTCTTGAAGGCTTTGAGTCGACAAGTAAAAACAAAACTTTCCTGAGGCAGAGAGAAAACAGAAGGAAAAAACAATGTAATAAAGCAAATTAGTCACTCGGCCCTGGTGGTGTTCAGGCAAGCCTGTATGTTTTTTTCCACCACAGTTGTAAAGCATTGGGTCTGGCTTTGGAAGCCATCAATCTCTGTAAGCCTACTGGCTTGCTTGTTGTTTTAGGCATTTTGGTAGGAGGTGAGGAATTCTAAGCATCAATGACTGGAAGCTGGCACCGTTGAACACTCACCTCTCCTATCCCCTGGGGTGTTTTGGGGAAGTCTGTCCCAGAAGTGGCCTCTGGAATTTGCCTATGATAAGTAATGAGTACGAAACAAATCAAGAAAGAAATGAGCAAAAAATTCCGTGGTAAATGTGATTCCCCTCCCTATTTGGGTAGCACTTACAACTAACCAAGAGTTCTAACAATGAATGAGTAATCCCCCAAGAATTAGGAATTTAGGGAGTGGTTCAGGCTTGGAGGACAGTCACTTGGGAGTGACTAAAAATGTTCCATGGAATTCTGAGATTTCGCTATAAAGTGGGGAGTTCTCTCTTGGGGTCAGAATCTTGATTTTCAGGATTTTCAATGAGAATCAGTGTCTTGTAGTGCTCCTGCAAATTTGTGTGTTATGTTTTAAGAGCACTGTTTATTTGCAGAACCTTTTGGATGAGGAAAAAGACACAGGGTTGAAGAGAGTGCTGTCCCCTGCCCCCCTAGGGTTGATACATGACAGCCTGTAAGATTTCCAGAGCACTAGGGAAACGGAATATGTAGTAAAAGGAGTCAGTGATAGAGTTCACCTGTCTGAATATTTTTTTTAGCAAGTCCCAAAACAGGTTTAATAAACTGCAAAGCTGAGTATGTAATCTGGAATTTGTGTAATTCCACAGTCTATACTAAAAGCCCCAACAGTCATCTTAGCTGATCGCTCCTACTCTGCCTCCCTCCCTTCTCCCCTTTTCTATCTTTAGCCCTTGGGTTTTCCATTAAGTAAAATCTATTTCCTTCCAGAAGTATCCTCTATGTGTTATAGTGAAATTGCCCAACAAACCAACATACCCGATAACGGCATTATCTAAAAGTATCAGCACTTGGATGTGTAAGTTGAGCCTCAATCTGAAGTTCAATGTTTAGAGTAAAGTATAGCTAGGTTCTTGAAAACATCCTTATTTCCTTCCAAAAATACAATTGCTCGGGGAGTCTAGTTAATTTATATTTAGTGGAAGGTAAGGAAAAGGACAAACTATGGATTTAATTTACACCTGAGTGACAATCATATCATCTAAGTAGCCAACAGTGTTTCTGTGTGCGCATCTGAGCGAGTGTGTACATCTCTGTGCATTTTGATCTTGTAATACCTGTTGAAAAATTTCTCCAGAAGAGGGCTCCATCCACAGCATTACAAAATTCTGAATCTACAGCTCATTTTAAAGAACTTCAACGTAGCAACTCCATCAAAACAAAACTATTCTCCTTATTACACATTATCTGCCACAAGCATCTCCAAATGAGAAATCCTGCCATTTTTCACTGTCTTTCTTTCTTTCTGTATCTCTCGCTTGCTTGCTTGCTTTCGCTTTCTTGCTAGCTTTCTTCTTGCTTTCTTGCTTTCTCTGTCTCTCTCTTTCTTGCTTGCTTGCTTGCTTTCTTTTGCTTTCTTGCTTTCTTACTAGTTTTCTTTTTGCTTTCTTTCTTTTCCCCTATTGTAGCTGGTTCTGTTCTAATTCATTCTTCAACTGTGTATCCCCTGTGAGTATTGGAGCAGGGAGAATTTCAAAGACCTTTGTAGACAGTGCAATATGGAATGTGAGGAAGTTTTGAAATTTCCTGGCATTTGACTTTGGTTGGACTTGATTTTATTCTTTAGGCAGCCAAAAGGCAGGAACAGTTCTGCCTGTGGAAGGAGATAGCCTTCCCCCTTACATAACCACCCAGAAGCATGCCTCCTGAGCTTGGTCCACTCACTTTCCAACACCCATTGAAAAGGAGAGGGAAATATCCACCTGTCATCCAATTACAATAATCAGCTGGACAGAATCAAACCAAGTGACCAGTGGTTTCGGCATTGTTTCTATTTAGCTGTCGACCAGGTGCCCATGCACCTATGAGAATCTGACCCTCCTGAAGGATGTTGCCAATATAATTCCCCACAGCCTGCTTCTTCTGCAGCCACCTGGGATCCCAGGCCTGGCTCCCCAGGTATGAACAGGCTGCACAGACAATGGTTGGGCTGTAGGATCTCTTGCTTCTGCAGTAGGCACTCAGCAGTGGCCTTATTCTAGAGTTAGGGCGGAAAGTCATCTTTCTCTGCTGAGAGAGGCAGCTTCGGGGAAGGCAGGAGAGGAGAAGAAAGGACATTTCTAACTTGAAGTGCCGACTGAGCCAGGGTCTGTGGAGGTAAATGGGTCACCCTCTGGCTTAGCAGGTTGAACCTCGAGACATCTACTTGGTGGTAATGAAACTCATCTCTCCCAACCCTGCAACTCTGGCTTCTGGGCAGAGGTTGCCAAGTAGCAGCCACAGACTAAATTTGGCGGTGGATGCACTTTGTTTGGCGCAAATGTTTTGAAAATTGTACATTAATAAAAAAAGAAATCCAG